CATAAACATCACAAGGATCCTCAAAATCATCATCTTAGATAGAAAATGTTGAAGAATACATTAATTTTTCACAAAAATAATAAATATTATTATATCTCACGTTTTATTCGCAGTTGATCTTCGTAACATCGTTTTATGACGGATATCTTAAAATTTAGTGTAAGCAAAATCTGAGAAATTGGTAAATCAAGTCGAGCAGCCACAAATCTTGATAATGTACTCTCATCTGAAACGTTCAATTGTCCACGATTTCCTGAACCATTGTTGCTACTGCCAAGTCGTTTGTTTCCAGCGTTCTCTTCAGTTCTCGCTAAACATATAAAATACACAATGACTTAATCTAAACTTCAAGAAAATAAATAATAGTAAACCTTGTTGAGCTTTTTTCGATTCTTGAATTTTTCGATATAAGTCTGCACCACACAGTTGTTTAGCATAGGCACAATTAGGAAACCATCTGGCATGTTCAATCATAGGATTATCATTTTTACCCCAATTCTGCAATGATCCATTACAATAGAAACAGGTCACAATTGTTTTCGTACCTGAATAAAAGAATCCTGCCCGAACTAAATCATCCACTGATGGTGTATTTTCAGTAAGCCAAGTAGCAAAAGTAGCATAACGTCGTGGAATTTCAATGTAATCAGTATTGCATGCAGCAGTATAAACAACTTCATGGCATCGAAATGGATCATCAGTTGTTACGCCGGCAGTATTCTCTCTTGTATTTTGTTCATTAACAATATGAATTGATGCTGTTTGTTGACGTTTCAATATAGCGATCACATATGGACATTTGGGTGACAATGTTTTATGAACATCCCATGGATCGTCACCATTTGATGTCCACTGTTGACAAACTATCTTGCAATATAAGCAAATGACACGATCACCAACATTACAGTGAAAGAATCCTGCTTGAATCATCTGTGCACTTGATGGTGATGTTCGTAGTGGCCAATGTGAAAATGTTCTTTTTCGTATTTGTTTTAACAAATTTACTTCTACAAGTATATTCAACTGAAAATCATCTTGTTGTACATCTGTTTTCTGTCTCTTAGAAGATTTTTCATCATCATCATCCGATGTTGAAATAGTTGAAGTAAAATTAAGTATTGAAGAAGCTGTACTCGTTCCTTCAGGTTTTATTGAACGTACGAAGGCACATGTTGGACTACGTTGTGAATGAATAGTAAAAGGTACCATATCGATAGTCCATCCGGATACTTCAAGATTGCAAGTATGACAACAGAATGTATCTGTGTAGCCTGTATAAGAGAACCCCGCAGCGTTCATAGCGATAGTAGAATGGACACTTTGCTTTTGTGTTAAACCTTTGCAAGTTTCGAACGCACGACAAAGTTCATCCATTTTTGTCGGTAACATCTTCTTAAAGAAGCTACTGTTTTTAAATGGTAATATATTACCTGACTGTTGTTCCGTTGTTGTTGAAGAATAGTCTCTCGATTGTGGTTGAGTCCATTCATATTCTAAAAAACATACAACAGAATATATTAGTCAGATCTAAGAATTCATATTCTGTTAGAGAAAAGTTGAGGGTGGGTGTGGGTGTGACTTCAGAGAGGGTACAGCGATTAATGATCGTCACCGCTGCATCCATAACCAGGTGTTCTAAACTTAACATTGCCTACCATTATGTTTGTATTCTAGATTTAGATATACTACAGGTTTATTTGTGATTCTATCGAGTTCCACTCGCTCAACAGTCAAGCGACTCTCAGGATACAATAATACTTCTTCTTCTTGAGAATATTTGGAGAACGGTGCAAGATCCATAGTCAAAGCATGTATCACGTTGATGATCAATAAAATACTACCAAATTTCTCAGCTACATTACGATTGCGACTACATGACATAAAACTCCGAAATGAAAGTTGCGCTTTAGGTGTTTTCAAATAATTATTCTTGAAACATTCGATTTCAGTCGGAGATAACTCGAGCCCACGATAGAGTGTTTGATTTTTTTTCACCATCTTGTTACTGAATGGATAGTCCCAGAGTAATAGACAAAATGCACCCAATGTACGGATTTTGTTTTGCCAAAGCTGTTCATGCCCTTGTATGCCGGTCAATCTCATAGCGTCGTTCAGGCTTTTGTACAAGAAACTCTCCATTGAATAAAGTTCTGCACAACATCTCCATACTTCTTCGATACTACTGTTTCTTGTTCTCCTTAGCCGGTTAGCCATCCATTCGGCTTCATATTTTTTATTAATTAGTTTTCCCTCTTCCAAAATACCATCAGCAGCTTCGTCAACAACTCTCAGTACCACTGTTTGATCTCGTGAAGGCAATTGATTTTTATTCAGTTTGAGAGATTTCATTGTTTCGACGATGAATAGTGATATTGAATAATATGGAGCATCAGCCGCACGTACAGAAGCAAATATATTTGATGTAAACCTTTCTTTTTGTAAACGCATATCATTTTTGTCAGCTATGATCCGTTTCACATTTCTTCGATTATTAGGTTCACTGGTAGAATATTGTATATTGTGCTTCAAATCAACAATACCGTCATCTAATATTACTTTATTCTGCCCCTTGAGATATGCTTCTTCGATAACATAGTTGTACACATCCGAAAAATACATCCATTGATTTAGTGAAGAACCGAAAAGGCTTGTTTGATTTGAGGTCCATTCCCAATAAATATGCCCCAAAGGATTATTAGTTGTAGTCGATACAGGTGTTGTTTCATTGCATTGGATGATGCACTGAGAAGGTATTCTCGGATTCATATTACTTCGACAGAGTTATTTGTTGATCTAAATAACATCGTAACTAAAACTATCTTACTTTACGCAAAAGTTCTAAAATAGTTCTTAATTGATAGTAGAAACGTTTAAAGGTAGATCGATCTAATTTCTTATTTTTTAATAATCCATCAATACAAATGCTATGCAAAATATCTACGAAACATATTATTCAAATCTCGATAAGTAGACGTTTTGTTCTAAGAAAAATCTATGAAAAATATCATTAGCAGATTTGGGAGAATTAACACTCTTCAAGGCAATTTTTTCATTTTTTTCTGTGAAAAAGAGCGAAAAAATGAATTTATACTATCTCAGATAAAGCCAAAAAACGCATTTTATCAATGAGCCAGGGTGGATGTGAGTGTAAATATGGACGACGACGTGTCTCCTTGATTTACCCATAATATGGATCACTTTCACACCCACACCCTTCTCACCCAGACCCTTCTCATACCTCACACTCACATCCACGCTTCCTCTATCAACGCCCTTAAGATGGATGTAATTAGAAGCACATTGATGAGTAAGAACCCGGGTATTGAATGGACTTGTATTGGGGATGAGTCAGACAACCACACCCTCACGCAAATATATATAGATATTATATTTATGTAATATTAAGTTATCTTACCGCAGTAAATGGTTGTTGCTTGATAATATTCCTTTTTTTCGCTGAAATAGTGTTCCAAAGCAGCTTGTAAAGTTGAATGATGTGCCGTCTGTCCCACAATATGTGTGTATGTTGGAAGTTTTCACGTTTACCAAGGGGATGCAGTAACGCTGCTAGTGAAGGAAGAAGAGGAAGAAACAACATTAAAAGCGATACGTGAAGAAAAAAACAAAGTCATATAGAAAAAAGGTGAAAAAACAGAACGAGAGCCATGTGAGTGTCGACAAATCAGTATAATTTTTTAGTGTTTTGTATTTTGAATTGTGTGCACACGGAGCATATAAAAAGTTGTGTTATAGTACCATTTATATCTTTTTTTTCTTCTCTCTTTTAGTATTGGTAGCGTATACGACATACATATGTCGGATTCTTCCTTAATTCTCATCATCTTGTATTCTTCAAACGTTCTTGTTACGTCACATTATGAAATATGATATAAGACAAGGCTACAGAAGGGTTTTATCCATACATATCCGTTCTCTCTTTTTTCTATATGTACGTTGCTTTCTTTCTGATAAGTGTTTTTTCCTAGTGTTCCTATTGGTTTCTCCCTATCATTTATATCTTGGGTATTTTTCCTTCAATCATGGCCGTAGTATGCTATATAAAGATGTGTATAAGTAATGGTGAAGGATGTATGCTCAAGTTACATTTTAATATCAAGTAAACGATATACACATCAACGTAAAACGGACATAACAGTTCTCTTTTGAAATTGTTCATTTATTTTCCCTCATTAGTTGCGTTGAATTTTTTGTGCCTCGTTCATCGTGAGGGTGCGGGTGATGTAAGGGTGTGGGTGATATGTGGGTATGGGTGATGTGTGGGTGTAATCAAAGCTGTGCAATTCAGTTCAAAAAGATGCCCAATTCGATTCGATTCAATTCATTGAAAGAAAAGTTTAGTTCAATTCAACTCAGCTAGACAATCTCTAAGAAATTTCTCAACTCAATTCATTTCAATACTCTTATGTTGAAAAATTTTCTCAACGCAATTTTATTGAACTCATATACTTATAGAAAGTTTTAGAATTCAATTTATGTATGCTGAGAAACATTTGTCAACTCAATTCAACGCAGTCTTATTACAAATTTCTATGTGATAAACTGTGTTCTTATTTATGCTTAGTTGAGCGCGCTAAAAAGAGTTTATTGCTGTTGTTTATCCTATACAACAATGGTTTTGTTTACAAAAAATACAACAGAATATTCAAAAATTTTGAATGAATTAATAAACACACACACACACACACACACACCTATATTGACACTCAGACTTACACCCATCCACATCACACTCATCTGTATTCACGCTTTCATCTACGATATAATATTAGTTATTTCAAGCAAAGTACGCGTATGCTTCTGTTTAGGTTTGACCAAAAAAACTGAGTTTTTCTTCTCGCGCAGACGCTTTTAATATAAACCGATATTACGTTGCTTTTTGATGAATTTCTCAGCATTTTTTTATATATTATTAGGCAGAAAGGAAAGAAAAAGTTTACATTAAAATCAATCATGGCGCAAGCATCTACTCCTGACTTCTTCGTTCGCTGGTTATGGAATTCAAGCGATGATCCGTTCTCTCCCAATCATTTTGAAGAAGCATGGCGCCGCTATTCTGATGTTGAAACAGTCCTTATCGAGGAAGCATATCAAATGAAACGTGTGGAAGCGATGCTGGATAAATATCATATTGATTTCGAACATTCTGTCCAAATATCGAATAACAATTTGAAAAAGCAGCGACCTGTCAAACGCATAACCGATGGACATGTCGAATCCTCACCAAGAGTAGAACGGTTCACATCTAAGTCCATTGTTCCAGCCGCGCCGTTTGTCATCTCCACTTACGGTATGGGTGGTACCTTTTTTCTCGAAGTTATGGACTACTGCGCAATCCCACACAATTCATTTCCATTTGATAACAGTAGTGTTCGTCGAAAGATTGTTGAGAAAGCAGCTGAAGGTCTCGTCATTGAAGGAAAGAAGGCTGGTCAACAGAAGGTTGCTGAATGGTTCGCTAGACAACTACTAAAATAGAAGACAGGTTCTAAAACAGAAATTTGGACATGTTGTGCTCCTCTCTACTGCATGCAATCCTTTCTCTATAAAAAGTTGAACGAAGTTATGCGCCTTATAGCTGATCCTAAACACGAAAATCTTTGGCGGAAGAAGGTATCTACTTTTGGTCCATTTGCTCTACTATTTTGGAAATTAAGAGAACCTGAAGTACACAGGGAGATGACTGTATATCGCGGGGCTAACTTATCGAATGACCTAATCAAACAATATGAGAACAGATGTGTTGACCCTTCAGAAGCTACACCTGAAACAACTTTCATGTTTCCAGCATACACATCTACCAGTCTGAATCGAGACAGAGCGGAGCAATATGGTAACGTACTTTTTATTATCCCTATCAAATGGGGTGACGGTTGGAATATAGCGCCTCATTCTATTTACAATTATGAAGAAGAAATACTACTCCGTGCCTGTTTTCGTTTCAATATTGTCTCCTGCGAATTTGAAGAAACCAAAAACAAATGGATAGTTTACCTAGTTTCAAATCATGAAATTCACATCAGAAATCCAGCGCCGTCAGAATCATCTTTGCTTTAATATATCGTCGCAAAGGATAAGAAAACTAACGGTTAATTGAAGTTAATCGATGATTTCATTCGAATTAATAGATCGTTGACATGTGCTAGCTTATTCCATCATCCAATGTAATACTGAAGTATCAGTTTGGACAAGAGTGTGACAATAGGTACTGTAGTTTTCATATATTCACTTACACCTTCTTGAGGTTGTGGATGTGAGAGTAAATATAAAGAGTGGACACCCACAGCCATCCTCCTAACACCAAACTATACCAACACCCACCCTAGTAACACCCAACCACACTCACAGCCACACCCTCACCGTTCTTTTTACTGGTATCATATGTGTTCTCTATTTTTAATAATCAATTAACGAAATACAAAGAAACATGTTTTTATAATACTAAGAACTACACACAAGAGCGAATTTATATGAAGTCAAGTAGAGCCATGAAGTCTGTTGTGTCCCTCTTGACAATAATGGATAATTACTAAACTTCCATGATCTACAAATATATACGAACAAAAGCTTCAATTTCACGATGGCATAGAGGACATAATCGAAGAGAACGACCACAAGTGGTACAGACGGTTAGATGACCACAGGGAATGCAAGCCAAACGTTTTTCTTCAGTTTTGCATAATAAACAAGCATTCAATGTTGATGAATTATCTACTTCACCATTCGGAACAGTATCTACTACCGATGGTTTCAGATTTTGCACGTGTTGATCAGTAGTTTTTGGTGTTGTCATCTTGATGGTATTTGTCATAGATTCCGTTGACGTTGTCATTTCAATATTGGTATCATTTGATGAATTCGTTAGACTTGACGAGCACGCAGCTTGTTCACGAGCACGAATCACTAGTATTATTTAAATCATCAAACAATTATTTCTAAATTCTTCACATACCTGCTTGCTCTCTTTCACGAATTTTATGTATTGCTTCATGTGGAATAATAATATTTTCCTTCTTCCCACCAATATATGTAATTTGGTTTTGTAAGATCATACATGCTATTAGAATATCACAATCATCGCTGAAGTCATCATCTATAATGAAAATGAATGGCAGATATATATTTTTATAAAATACAATTAATATTGCTTATATTCACGTTTTATTCGCAGTTGGTCTTCGAAACACCGTTTTATAACTGATAATTTATAGTTTCTACTGAGTAAACTTTGTGAAATTGGTAAATCAAGTCGAGCCGCCACAAATCTTGATAATGTACTCTCATCTGAAACGTTCAGTTGTCCTCGATTTCCTGAACCATTGTTGCTACTGCCAAGTTGTTTGTTCCCACCGTTCTCTTCAGTTCTCGCTAAACATACAAAATACACAATTACTTAGTCTAAACTTCAAGAAAATAAATAATAGTAAACCTTGTTGAGCTTTTTTCGATTCTTGAATTTTTCGATATAATTCTGGACCACACAGTTGTTTAGCATAGGCACAATTAGGAAACCATCGAGCATGTTCAATCACTGGATTATCATTTTTTCCCCAATTCTGCAATGACCCATTACAATAGAAACAAGTCACTGTTGTTTCTGTGCCTAAATAAAAGAATCCTGCCCGAACTAAATCATCCACTGATGGTGTATTTTCGTTGAGCCATGTGGCAAAAGTGGCATAACGTCGTGGGATTTCAATATAATCAGTGTTGTATGCAGCAGTATAAACTACTTCATGACATCGAAATGGATCATCAGTTGTTACGCCAACAGTATTCTCTCTTGTATTTTGTTCATTAACAATATGAATTGATGCTGTTTGTTGACGTTTCATCATAGCAATCACATATGGACATTTGGGTGATAATGTTTTATGAACATCCCATGGATCGTCGCCATTAGGTGTCCATTGTTGACAAACTATGTTACAATACAAACATATGACACGATCACCTACATTACAGTGAAAGAATCCTGCTTGAATCATTTGTGCACTTGAGGGTGATGTTCGTAGTGGCCAATGTGAAAATGTTCTTTTTCGTATTTGTTTTAACAAACTTACTTCTACAAGTACATTCAACTGAAAATCATCTTGTTGTACATCTGTTTTCTGTCTCTTAGAAGATTTTTCATCATCATCATCCGATGTTGAAATAGTTGAAATAAAATTAAGTATTGAAGCAGCCGAAATGGTTCCTTCAGGTTTTATCGAACGTACGAAATCACATGTTGGACTACGTTGTGAATGAATTGTGAATGGTCTCATATCCAAGGTCCACTCAGATACTTCCAAACCACACGTATCACAACGGACTGTATCTGCGTGGCCTGTGTAATAGAACCCTGCAGCATTCATACTGAACGTAGAATGTACACCTTGTCTCTTCGACAACATTTGACATGTGTTTATCACTTGACGAAGTAATTTCAACTTTTGAGGAGATAGATATTTCTCCACAGAAGAATCTGTTTTTGATCGTGATAGATTACGAGAAATTTGTCTCACCATGTATGGAGCAACTAGCTTACGCCGTCTAGAAATATTTAATTTGGATGCTTTCATATTTAAAGTAACGTCCATTTTTGCGGCGAATTCAATACTATAGAAGAAAAATAGTTGCATTTATTATGATGTTATTAATTAGGAACAGATTGTTATATATTTTTTAAATGTTATAGTCCGAGCAGTGCTTCTTTTTTGCTATAATTAGTTTTTACAGAATTAGTTTATTCTTATGACACTTACTTTAGTTTGAATATTTAGATTTTTGTGAAAGATTTTTAGATAAGATTAATATTATAATGACAATTTAATTAATGTAGAATTTATTGCTTTTGTTATTATTATTTTTTGAGATATATAGAATCATTTGTGGATAAAATGAAGCGCGAATAAGTTTGAAAGTGCCGTAAATGACTTATCTATATTTATTATGTCTTGCGCGCGAGGGTTAGTTGGAAAAAACCAAGTAAAACATATCAGCTGTCGTCTGAAAAGAGAAAGAAAGAAAAAAAATCGTTGTTTTTCTTGCTTTTGCGCAGTGAGTGGAGGTATTTACAAGACACATGTAATGATTCTATTAATTTGCCTCGATTGAAAGTATTACTCTACTCATTTTACAATTTAAATATCTGGATATAAAAGAATATTACGAAGTACCTTATAAGATACAAACGAATTATTTTAATTTATTATTAGTCACAACACAATATATGTTACAAATGAAATATAAGGATAAAAAAGGTAGTCGGGCAAAATGCGTATAATAATTTCGTCTGACTATCGTTTTTGTAAATTTCAATAGAAATTAGTATTGATATCTTTTATGATCATATTTATCATTATTTTTGTATGAATTGTTTTCTCACCTTTAAATTATGTATAAAAGAACACTTTTACAGACGTTATTTATTATTATTTAAATATATATTGCTCTTTCGAGGTACCTGGGAATGAAAAAAAACCCGAATGTTGTTCGTTCTTTTTTCTCTTTTCATATATTCGTCGAAGAGAAATAGTCTCACATTGTCTACGTCAATATTATTTTTAGTACTTCCTAACGATACCTTATCGCATACACGAAAGGAAGTACACTATCATCACTTATCTTGTTTTTAAAAATATATTTTTGCATTTCAAAGTAAACAGTATTATAGCAGATAAATGTTAAATGAAGAAAATTTTTTCTATGATTCTTGTAATTTCTACCAATTTTTGGTCTTCTATAAATATGTCATCATGAAAAATAATTTCATATTAATAAATAATTAAGAATAGATATATAATATTATTTTCAATATTTTCTCTTGAAGAATTGGACCAACGTATTTTAAAGCTAGTTTCTGCTCGAACAGTATGTATGTACTAAACATGAATCATCTGACAGACGAGATTGGACAGAAATTTTTTCTTCGAAAAATTCATTTTATTCTAAACAGAACAGTTAAATAAATATTTCGACGAAAATTCCACTTTCGCCGAAAATGAAGCTTATCGAAAATGAAATTCGCCGAATGCATTTACTACCGAAAGTCCACCTTGAGGGTGTGAGTTGGATCTACCCACACACTTCGATTTAAGCAATCGAATTTTTTTACCCAATTCACATCAACAAGGTTTTTTCCAAGCTTATCGACAGCTTGGTATTCTCCCATGATAAAGTTTGAGTTGATAAGCTATTGTATCACATGTCAGGAAAGGTTTTTTCTTATCTTTTCATTCTCTTCCTTTCGACTTGTTAATGATATTTACTTTCATGTCATTGCTAAATAAATATATTACTCATGTATCCGGTTGCTGCAGTATCATGTGATTATTGCCATTATTACTGAGAAAGAGGGAATTGCAGAAATAAATACAAATAAAACCAAGATTTCGCGAATTTATTACTAGACCTGAACAAAATATCATTAAAAATGAATAAAGAGACAACTATAAAATAAGCAAAAAATAGTCGGTCTAGAATCATGTAAAACTCATCTTTCATGCTTATAATAAAAGCAAAGGTTTTTTTTAGCTTTATTTGGGTATTGATCATGTTTAATAATAAATCATTTCAACATTTGAAGTCAGATATTCACTATGAATTACTTTGATCAAACTTTGTTAGTCTTATCTTAAATTGTAGAAGAAGATGATAGCTCGTTTATTTATGGAGAAAACACAAGTATTTGTAAGACAAGAAATGGTTATTTTGATTATTCTCATCTCTTGAAATACAACATATTCTGGAGAAAATACCGAAGCGATATCCTTTTATTCATCACTTGGTAGTAATACATTTTAATATTAGTCAAACGAACAGAGGAAGAACGCATTAAGAGAACGAAAGGGAAAAGTCCCATACGATCATATATATGAAGAAATATTCTATATGTTCGGTTACAAAACTTCTCTACAAATAATTATATAAATGATAACTTACAAAATGTAAATTTCTGAAGATCAGAAGTTTTTGACTAATATGATATGTATTTTGAATACACACTAAAAAAAACTAGTCAGATTAAAATTAGTAATTGATTATAATGATAGTGAAATATCGAAATTTCTAAGTCAATGTTTCTCTTTTCGAAAGTAGAAAAACTATCACATGAATGATTTTTTTAAACAAAATGCTGGCTCATTATTTAGAGGTTTATCAAAGAGAAAAACAAGGTTATTCATTTTATCCAACAGAAATATTGTAAATGGTCAATTATTTTGATTTATAAAACAAATTCCAGTAATATTCATCATGGTACAAATGCAAACAATTTATATCTACTTTTCTGGTTTATTGTAAAATTTTCTTCATCTATCGTTTTAGTAAATTATCTAAACATTCTTTAATTACTATTTGTATAAAATACATTAAATGAGCAAACTAGATGACATACCAGTTGAGACTCGTCTGCAAAATGCGATGCGATGCTCGATCTCGAAATAATGATTTTCATAGATTTCTTAGTATTCACTATTATCTAGAATGCAGTCAAATTTATGTACTTTTTTCTATAAAGTAAATCATCTCTAAAAATGAGTGTTATTTATTTATTTTATATTATCGAAGAAATAAAATAAATTTAAAATAAATTAAATGAACATTCCAGTTTATTATAATATTGTCTTAAGTCTGCTATTTTTTTCTTTTTATCTCCGATGCAGCATTCAATAGTAATAATTTTTAGAAAAAGAAATTTAAATCAATAATGTTATTATTTGGATGGTTTTCTATACACGTTTGAACGTGACAATGTTTTAATAGCTACAGCCAATAATAAATAAATAAATATACAATTGTTTTGTTTAGTTTGAAATTCTCACAAAGTTTCCGGTGTAATTAATGGTACATGACTTTGATCTAAAAGTTGAGATCTGTGAAAAAAGAAATCTTTTGGAATTTTGTATATTATTATTTAATCTGAAGTGCATGAATAAATAGGTTTTTCGAAGATAATTTACTTTTAAAATTTTACTTATGTAGAGATCCGTAGTTTCGTTTTGAAAAACAATAGTTCTGGTATACAAAAAATAATAAACAGTAAATAATTTGACAAAAGAAATCATTTCACAAATTATTTATTTTAATGCGAAAACAAACTTTCATCGGAATACCTCACAGAGAAGCTTTATCTTACTTCAAATAATATATCATTTGATAAAATACTCAATAAGTCTCTTTCCTCATATAAAGTATACAGCTCTTAAGCACCTCTTTTTTTTGGAACGTTCATTTTTTTAATTACTATTAACAATTAAAATAGCCATTTGCACCTTTATGAATACAAAATAATTTCTTTTTTGTTCAACAATAGTATTTTATATTGAAGTTATGAGGAAATTTTTTAATATTTTTTGTATTTTTGAAAAATTATTTCTAAGAAAACTCTACAATGATCGTATATGAAACACATTCCTTTTTCCAACAGAAAATAAAAATTTCTTACAATATTCCATTGCTATAATGCAATTCTTTATCAGCAATAAATTAGATAAGTTCCTTCGATCTTACTTTCATCAATATTAAGCCTACAGTTTTTCTCATTCATTAATGAATAAAGCATGCTCTATGTATAAAATTTCACAAAGCTTTTTTTATTAGTTTCATCATAAAAATTTCATACATTTAACAAACATTAATATGATGTTTGACAACGAGTGTAAAAGAAAAACTAATTCACTGAAAGAATCATATTTTTCTTTCTACCTTCATTCGATGAGAAAAAAAAATCGCCTACACATTTAAAAAGTGCAGTAATGATGTAGAGAGAAGCAAGAATAAGCTGGAAAGAATAATTATAAAATGAATCAGATTGTTGGCTTCTGTTTTGTTCGTTCTTTCAACAACATTACCAACAAATGATCATGGAAAGCGAGCCAAACATGTTAACCAAAGAAGTGTGGCTCACTTCATATAGCAGAAACTAGCTGGCCAAACTACAGTCCTTACTTCACCATGATCCAACCTACTTTCTGCCCTCCTTCTATGAACACGATGATCTTTCAAGGTCTACATGGGTGTACTATTTGTAGTTTTTTAAAGTCAATCTGAACGTTGTACGTGTACTTTATCAGGATGTACGTGAATATGATAGAATCAAAAGAAGGAGTGAACATATACGCAACAAATAAGTAGTTCACCTGAAATAGAAAAATGGTTCAACCAATTTCTGGTCTTCAATTTCTTATGAGTTGAAATTCTACATAAATATCCTAGCTATCATAACACGATGAATTAAGCAAATCGTGCTTCAAATTGAACTGGTTTCTAACCAGTTTTTTAAGACAATGCCAAAATGTGTATGACGCGAAGAGTTTAATCAATTTAAAAAATGAATCTTATTTCCTATGACACATCGTTAGTATCTCCGTTCTATATCCTTGAGAATTTGACAAAGCTCCTGCAAGGATTCCTTATGTATTTGGTTGCAGGAAATGAGCAAAACATGCAGGCATTTTCTTCGAACACAATTTACTCTCATTCCTACATTCTACCTTCTGAAAAAAATTGTTTTTTGTTTGTGTTGTTAGTTTTTCCCAGAAAAAACTTCTCAATGATGATAACTATATTCACCTTGTTAGAAAAATTTTTTTGTAGTCATTTCTGCATTCTCCTTCCAGAAAAAAAAACTTATTTACTCTCATTCTCAGATTCTTTCCCGGAAAAAAACGTGTGTATCATCATTCTTGCATTTTACCTCCTGAAAAAAAAACTTTTTTGTTTGTCTTGTTACACTTTCTTTTCCAGGAAAAACTTGTTTATCACCGTAATTATATTCTCCTTGTTGGAAAAATTTTTTTGTAGTCATTTCTGCATTCTCCTTTCAGAAAACTTTATTTACTCCCATTTTCATAATCTTTCCCGGAAAAGAAAGTTGCCTATCACCGTTCATGCATTCTCATTGGCAGATGTATTTTTCTTGCTCTCATTCCTATTATCTCTTTCCTGAAAAAAACCTGTATCTTTTTACTTCAGTCTTTTACGCAAAAAAGACTTTTCTGTCATGGTTCTCACATTCTCAATATTGGAAGAAATTTTTTTTGCTCTCACTGCTACATTTTCTTTTTCAGAAAAAATTATTGCTATTCTCGTACGAAGAGAAGAAAATTACTGCATAACTCAGTAGTAAGTAGTAAGTATAGTGTTATTTTTTTGTCCTTTGGTGGATAGATGTAAAGGCCAAAGATGAAATCGAGTACTTATCGATTTAGTAGAGTTTTCAACTAGTCGTGTTAGTAAGGATGACTAAGACAGTCTCATCTTCATATACCTTAGCGTCAGTATAAAGGAACTGTTCTACTTCACCACATTAAGTACTTTGTGGAGTTTAGAATTTAGCGCAAGAATGAGTGTGAAGACAATAATCTTTTGACTACATCTCGTATCGTAATGGTGAAAGGAACAATTTCATAATCATATTAAATAGTCATCGCTAATACTTTTCAGGCTATAATATTAGTTTCAAATTCTAATAATCACACTAAAACTTTGCAAATGTGATCAATAGAAAATTCGAAAAGTTAGATAATTGAATACTTCGATGGTCCAAGTCTGTGTTGAGTGAAACGGTAGCAAAAAGACTGAACAGATGAATACTCGAATACTGCGTTACATATGTGAAAAATGAGATACTCGAACAGTTGAATCGATGAATAATTGACGGTGTGGGTGTGAGAAGGTAGGTGTCGATATGCACGAGGGTGTTATTTCCAAGTTACACTCCACATCCACACCCACACCCACACCCACACACCCACCCACACCCTCTAGAAATCTTGAATTTTTCTGCCGTTTAGTTGAAAACTATTTCTAATTAGTTTCTCATTAATAAATAAATAAATAAGTTTTACCTAGGTGGTAACTGAAAGAACTAGTCCAGAAAAAGAACATCTAAACAACCAAGGTCAGATACAAGCTTGGCATCTCTCTTTATTCTTGAAGTTATCCATATATATATATAAGATAGGTAAAATATGGACTCCGGTTTGTCTGATACCAGTTTCAGATCATTTCTTACGACCCCAACAAATCTGTATGCTTTGATATGTTTTTTGCTTAGCACAATATTATTTTCAAACATAACCAGGTGGAGTTTGAGCTTGAGCGACAACAAAACCACACAAACATTCGAAGTCGCAAAAAAATCAAGAAAAAACAAGTCGTTGTCTATATAAATACACGAGACCAACTTTAGCTTTCCGTCATACCAATTATTATCAATTTCATTCCACATCAAGAACTAGTTCACATTTTAACGTGATATGGGTGCACACAAATCGAAGGAGAATGTTACAACAACACCAAAATCAACAGCATCATCAAATATTCGCCGACAACGTATGGCACAAAACTACCTTCTCATCTGGGTAGATGCCAGCATCGACGAAGGAAAAAAGGATTGCCAAGACACACTCACTCAATTGAAAAATTTGGTCAACGATGTCAACTTATGTACGGAATCGAAACAATGCATCGAAGTACTCAACAAAGTTGACAGGGAACAAGCCTTTGTCATAACATCAGGCTCATTAGGTCAACACTTGGTTCCTGAAATTCATGACATACCACAACTAGATGCTATTTACATCTTTTGTGGTGACAAATCCAGACACGAAGGATGGACTCAAAACTGGACAAAAATCAAAGGTGTTCATACAAATATCAAAGATATTCGCCAAGCATTACAATTGGCGGTTAAACAATGCGACCAAAATGCAATTGCCATAAGTTTTCTTACGGTAAATGACATGGCTTCAACTGATAATTTAAATCAGTTGGAGCCAACTTTCATGTATACTCAACTATTCAAGGAGATTCTCCTTGATATCGAATATGATGGCAAGGCAATCAAGGACTTAGCAGTTTGTTGCCATGAAGTTTTTGCTGGCAATTCAACTGAATTAAAGGTTATTAATGAATTCGAATGTGATTATCGTCCAGAAAAAGCAATATGGTGGTATACACGTGAGTGTTTTACATACAAAATGCTCAATCAAGCACTTCGAATGATGAATGCTGATATAATCATTAATATGGGCTTCTTTCTACGTGATGTACATCGAGAAATCCAACAGCTGCATGAACAACAGGTTAGTAGTTATGGCCGCAAACCTTTTATAGTTTATCGAGGACAAGGTCTTATGAAATCAGACTTTGAAAAAATTCAGAAAGCAAAAGGTGGTCTTATGTCATTTAACAATTTCTTGTCCACAAGTAAAGATAAAGAAGTGTCCTTTCCTTTTGCTCGAGATGCTTCAACAGAACCAAATAAAATTGGCATTCTTTTTATAATGTCCATTGATCCTTGTTTGAAATCAACACCATTTGCCTCCGTCAAAGAAGTGAGTTATTTTAAGCATGAAGAAGAAATTCTCTTCTCAATGCACACCGTGTTTCGAGTGAATGCAATCAAACAAATGAACAAGAATAATCAACTTTATCACGTTGAATTAGAATTAACATCGGATGATGATCAACAACTACGATCACTTACTGATCGGATACGAGAAGAAGCTAGTGGTAGTACTGGATGGAAAAGATTAGGTAAATTATTGCTTACAACTGGGCAATTTAATAAAGCTGAAGAACTTTATAATGTATTACTCGCACAGACATCTGATGAGGGTGAAAAGCTGCATTATTATAATCAGCTCGGATATATCAAACATAAACAGGGTGATTATAAAAAGGCTATTTGGTATTACGAAAAAGCACTTGAAATGCGACAAAAAACTCTTCCTTCAAATCATCCTGATTTGGCTACTTCATACAACAACATCGGTAGTGTGTATGACAATATGGGAGAGTACTCGAAAGCACTTTTACATTACGAAAAAGCATTTAAAATTGATCAAAAAACTCTTCCGTCAAATCATCCTGATTTGGCTACTTCATACAATAACATCGGTTTGGTGTATGACAATATGGGAGAGTATTCGAAAGCATTTTCATATTACGAAAAAGCACTTGAAATCTTCCAAAAAACTCTTCCTTCAAATCATCCTTCATTCGCTGCGTCATACAACAACATCGGTAGTGTGTATGACAACATGGGAGAGTACTCGAAAGCACTTTCGTATTACGAAAAAGCACTTGACATTTGTCAGAAAACTCTTCCTTCAAATCATCCTAATTTGGCTAGTCTATACAACAACATCGCTGGTGTATATTATGCTATGAAACACTATTCGAAAGCACTGTCATCTTTGGAACGGGCTCTGGACATCAAACAACGTACATTACCTCCAATTCATCCTAGTATTAATGATGTGAAAGAGAGTATTGAAATTGTAAAAGAAGAAATTAGAAAGAATATTTGATAAATAAACAAAAGAATATTTTGTTCGCTTGCTTTTAAATTAATTCTATTTTTCAGTGAACTTCGTGTGCGTACAGAAAACAATTCTGTAAATAATAAAAACGTAGTGAACAAAACCGACTGATAAAATAATACACAGACATACGTATGGGTATAAATGACCTTCTCAGATATATTTACATTTCTAATTCTTTACGAGAGTATTCCCTGTATTAAAGAAAGAATAACCTACATGGAATTGAATTGTAATAGTGTCGAACGAGACTTCGTATGATGAAGAAAAAGTTAAAAAACTGCGATATATATATCAAAGTTGACATGAGAATTCAGTTGAGTTTGGAATGCGCGAAATGATTAAAAGAAAAAAATGTCGAAATAGATTGTTCTGTTAGAATAAAATAAATTATTTGTTTAGTACCTTCCAAAAATAACGACTAAAAATTTAGACGAACTCATCGTATCGTATATTCATTCTTCTCAATTTTTTTTATGTTTTCTGTGCTCGTCATTTATTATATATATTCATTTATTCGACGTTTGGTATTATAAAGATATAAAATAATTGGTTGCCTCATAGTATATTATTACAGAGCTACCCTTAAATTATTATTTTCATAAGTTTTCTATATTAAAAAAGATCTACTAAATTAAATGTTTATATCGCTTGTGTAAATGAACTGTCATTCTGATTATCGAGGTTCATTACTATGAAACATATAATGATTAAACATAATCTATGACGACATTTTTAATTAGATAAATCGATGTATTTTGTTTTTATAATTAAAATATTATTATTTGATGGAAATATTTAAAAAGAAAATAATACACAATCGCACGTTTCTATTGTTTTACGTTTATTTAACTACTGACTTTCATTTTTTCTGGAATGTGATCGTAAGTTTTAAAATCCGTTTGTCATACTTCTTTCTTTGATTTCAGTATCGCACATAATAAACATAATCTAACTGAAAATATTCATGTCTATTTCTTATGTAACCGATTCTACAAACTTTCAATCACAGAAAAAAAAAATCTACGCAAAACTCTCTTATATTTGCCATAGTATTCTCCATCAATAAAATCAATTTCTTAATCTTATTATCATGAAAAAAAGAAATACAATATAATAAAAACCGAACAATTTATTTTTAGCCAATAATCGATATCCCCACTTATAACTATAAAATATAGAAAAATACTTATTTAATTAATATTGAACCTGTTCCAAACTCATCGTGCGGTTTATTGATCATCTATTTTTTAGTCTCTATATTTATTACGAAACAATTTTCATTTTTAGCACACAGAATTATTCTAATAATACATCATCAATCTATCATACTGAGAGACAAAATCATTGCTTTCTGCATCGGTATAGATATACATAAGAAGAATATTATACACATCAACACACCCTCAAATCCTGTATGTATATCTCTCAACAATATTTTCGTTATATGTCGATGAATGATATCAAAAAAAGAATTTTTTTTTTAAAATTTATTCGAACAAAAATAAAAAGAAACAATTAAAGTTTTTTCAAAACAACATATGTTTGATAACATTTTATATCAAAATCATCCGGATTTTGATGGACGTGTTCTTTATACAAACTCCAAAATTGATTTGATAATTGATCAATATCCACTTTTGATCGTTGTCCAGTACTTTCTAATGCTTCTCTTAATACAGAATCTGTAGCACATCGTATAAATTCTGTTTGTTTTCGAGAAAATTCTTCTAATTCCATTTCATTATTTTTTAATTGTCCATAGAATTTAAAATCAACGGCTGACATATTTGAATGAATTACTTCAAACGAATATTGATCAAATAATTCTTTATCGACACATTCATCATATGAACGTATATAAACTGGTAGTGTATAATTAGGTAGTTCTTCCTTTGGTGATAAAATTGATTTTGCACATTTATATAAAAGATGATATACACTTTCAGTCATAGTTAAACCTTCATCATTAAAACAATTCATTACCAGGATAAGAATACCACCTTGAATAAGTTCAAGTGAACGATTTTCGAGAAAATTTCTATAATCATCACGAGCTTGTTCTTTAAATGCTTGTAGTTCATCACCTTGAGCAAAAATTGATATACAATGATCTGTTATATTGCATGGTTTTTGAGAAAGCCAGTGAATCGAAGCGGATGAATAACCAATAGTCAAAGACTTTGGTGGAAGACATTGTTTATAAAATGATTGACCAATTGCCATACTAAAAAATTTTTTATCTTGATGATTTAAAATATCAAAGAATGATTTCCAATCATTTGTTGGTAAATCAATATGTACAATTAAAAATTGTCGATCGGTTTTATTTAATGCTTGTATATAATCAATAATAGATTTTATAACATGCATAGAATTTGATCCATGAGATGAACCAAAATCAGCAATAATTACAGGAGATTCTCCAGAACTTATATTAAGAATTTCAATAGCTTTCTCAATAAAAGGCTTCGAAGATTCAATAAGAGCTCGTTGTGGTAATGAATGTGAATTATAGGATCCAGCCATCCCTATTGTTGCACCAGTTTTTGTCGCCATTTTTGTAATAATATAATGATAAAAAAAATCGGTGTATATATATATATAGGTATTATTGCTCGATATAAACAACAACAATAATAATATTCTTTTTTTTTCTCCTTTTATATACATATTTATGCAATCGAGTATTTTAAAAAACTGGGGTTTTTCTATGTACTGACGTAGTACAAATGTGATAATTTTTTTCCTCCATTATATGTTTGACGTCATTAACGATGTATTTTACCTATGATAAAAGTATGTTGGTGAATACTGGCTTACTTTAGAAATGATAGAAATTACCTACCGTATCGTACTTTTATCTCGTCGACGGGTTTACCTTCTAATTTATGTACAAAATTATTTTACACGTGTGGTAAAATACAACAATAGAATATAATTCGATTACCCGTCTCGTGCATTGCTGATAGTTTCATATAGAAACAACAATCATATTTTTGTTTTCGTATTATTATTCTCATGTGTCGAATATGAATGAAAAACAAATTCAAACATTAGTTTAATGACAAGATATTTTTACTTTCTGATTATTAATATCAAGAATAGAATATATATTACTAAGATCCAGTAGTCGTTTTATTAATCATATTTCTACGAATGTAATAAATTTGAAATAGATATTCAAATTTCATGAATTGTTTTTTATTACGATTGTAAAATAGATCAAATCATGTTTCGTGGCATGAATTATACTCAAATATAATATTTTTTTTCATTTTATCAAAAAAGTCTTTCGTTCATGCTTATATCTATAATTTTGTTTTTGTTTAACTACACCTGTGATGATATAAAATTATCCAATGAGACATCGAATATTTTTATTCGTAATAATAACATCGATTATCAAATTTGATCATAACTTTCGTTAACGACTATTTTTGGCTTCTTTAGTTAAAAACTAATCAAGCATTTAAAATCCCCCCCCCCTCTGGTTTTTGTCCTTTATCTATCGTTATTGGGATTTGGATTTTGACGAGGCTAAACGGTAATAGGTAACAAAAATGATTTATTATTATTGCCTACTTCCCATTTACTGTCAAAATCTTGATAAGAACAGAACAAAAAAAAATAACGAATATGCAGATATATTTTTGAGTGCTTTCTTACTCATTTTTATTCATAAAACGTAATCACCACAATAACGATTGTTGAGAAACTACGAAAATAATAAATCGATACGTTACGCAAAGTGACTGATCGGTAGTAGAAAAAAATTTTGTCTATTTGTTTTTACCCTCTAGTCCTTGGCGTGATAAGAATGTAAAGATAATAACCGATTTCTTTTATTATTTGCTATATATTGTATTTGAAAATAAAATATACTAAAAGATGTACGATAAAAAATTGTCTAATTCATAGAGGGCAGTATATTTTTACATTTCACATTTTGATCAAAATCTTTTGGTCGTATAATGTTGGTTTCATCAAGAAATGTTTTAAAATCAACTTTAGATATTGAATTATAACGTGGTCATTATAGAGTGTGAGAAAAAAGTTTACTGTATATATTGATAAACTGTTTTTGACGAAAATGCATAGCTTCGATGTTTAGAGATTTATTCGATTTTAGAGTATATAATTTATTATTTGGGTATAATATATTTAATAACAGCAATAGTCGGTTAGGGAATATAGTTGAATTTGGAATGCTATAAATAAAAAAATCCAGATTAAAGATAAAATTGATTTTTTGATTATTTAAGTTTCTCATTCATTATGAATATTGTTCAATAAACACGACATGCGGGACATTTAGCGATTACTTGTTTATATTAAGTTACTTTATTATCCAAGGTATATTGATTTTGTATCATCTATTCAGATGTAATAGATAGAGATTTTAGGAAAAATATGTATAAATGAGTACCAGTCATCTTTCGAACGATGTGCATAGGAAGAAAAGAAGAAAAATTTCTGTGTGCTCTTACAAAACTACGTGAAATTATGTCAATCATAAAGCTACTTTTACATACTAAGAATTTCTCTTTTAGAAATTTTTTTTATTCTTATTTTTTTTCGCGTATTCTAATCTCAACTAAATTCTCATATCAACTGTAACATATATATTGATCGATTGTCTTTAACACATGGCCTAATTGGATAGTTGAATTCAAGTTTCAAGTATTGCATATATGGAGATATAGAAATAGGCCATCAAAATACGATGTATTAAAAAATAAAATTATCTATTTTATATAAATAATAAGAAAGTGCTTTTGGATAATTATACATGCTGTGATATACAATACCGATGTTTTTATAGGGAGCACTCAAATCAGGATGATTAGAAGGAAACTCCATTTTAGGATAACTACGAATGTTGAGAAATCTGTGAAAACCTTGAAATCATGATTTCGATATCGAGGTTCACATCGCATATTTGTAGTCGAATGAAACTCGAATAACATCTAATTTCTTTCGTTCTATTGCCACATATACATATATCATATATAATGTTCTCTTCCATATATCGTTCATGGATTTTTCCTTTCGCTCTCCTATATGGATTATTCCTTTCGTGTCGATTATATGCGTTGCTATATATTATGAAAGTTTTCCTCGTCTTATTCTTTTGATCTACTGTTGGATATTTCCCTAACAGTGTAATTCACCATCCTCTATATAGCATGTGTTTTTCTTCGAATAAACAGAAGTATAGTATTCACATCCTCACAATCTATCCTACGCATATTGATAAGATCTAGCAGTAAAATGAAGCGAATATATAAATAAAAAAAATTTAGTTGATAACAATAACAAAATCAATAATTTTATTATCTTAATAATCATTCATCATGATTTCTTTTTTTCGAAACAACAGAAGAATTACTTGTATCATTTTCACTGTTCAATTGTTCCCAAATTTTAGTATTTGGTGTAAAATATAAATCACGAAAATTATTAAATAGTTTTTCATTCACAGTAGCTTTTTCATCACCAGTACTTTCACGTACTTTAATCATTGTGATTAATCGTCGACTAGTTGTATGATTAAGTTGTTGTTCATCATTAGAAAATAATTTGAAACATGGATGTGTTGGTAATAAACTTTCATCATATGTCATTATATGTGTTGGCATAAAAAAAACTAATCGACCACCAATACGTAAATAAATATTAGCAAAATTTATTAAATCAACATAAATATTTGTTAAATCATATTTTTCTGGTTCAGTATCTGTTGCATCACCTTGTCGACGACTTTTATGTTGAGATGATTCACGAATACCATAAGGTGGATCAGATATAATAGCATCAAAAGAAAATGCTGGCCGCCATGGTGGATATGCAAAATCAGCTCCAACAACACCCAAAAAACGATTTAATGTACCATAATCCGAAAAATTTTTATACATCATTTCATCTGGTTTACGAGCTAAGTTTTTCGTATTGGCTTTAGTTGGTTTAGCTAAATATTAAGAATTCAAAATACAAAAAATAATAGTTTAATCATTCAAACTAAATTACCTTTTGCTGTTAATAGACGCCAATCAAATTCACTACCAACAACATAACTACCATATTCAGCACAAGCAAGAAGAATTCCACCTAGAAAACAATAACTTTAAATATTGAAAGAAAAAGTAATATAATAAAATTAACCTGTGCCACAAAAAGGATCTAATGCAATATGATTCGGTTGACATTGAGCCATATTTGCCATAACAAATGAAAGTGTTGCATCCATTGTTGTATTACCTAAATAAATCGATTTCATTCTTCTCTTTGATAATCAAATGAAACAGAACTATAATATCCATTCATATTTGTATTTTGATGAACATTATGAAAGTGATTCATATATATTTTATAACAAATAATCATGCAGTAGAAAATCAACGTCTTGATATGAAATGACTCATTGAGAATTATTAACGTCCTTATCGAACAAATAGGTAGTATCATATATACCAAATATCACTTTACATACGGAAGTATCGAATGATTTTAGTGTCACTTCCTTTTTTACTCACCAATAAAATAACGTTTTCGAACGTCATATTTATCAATTAAATGACGTGCGCCATCACATACCTTAAATGCATGTTAGATATTTTATTTTGTCAAAACGTTAATGGAAAAAGAAACTTACCCATCTACCAACAAAAACTTCTTTTGGTTGTTCTAATCGTCCCTCTTCATAACTTTCGAAAAGTCCTACAGTACAATCTGCTTTATTATTTAAACAAAATTTATTTTTGATATTTAAACGATCACTGAATGCCTATAATTTCATTGTGATGAAAAAGATATTTAAAAAAACAATAGATTTCTTTTATCTTACATCAATTCGTTGAATTTTATCTGATTGTGTGAATTGTCTACGAAATGCATGAACAAGTATACGCCATGTTTCATTCAATTTAGGACGCTAATAATATAGAAATTTAGTTTGAATACAATACATTTTTATGAATTACTAAATCAGAATTTAAGATCAATTTATCAACAACATCTATCAATGATGGTTCGTGTGTCCAATATTCATAAGCAGATCTATATTAAATAAATCTAATAATACTGAAATCATCTTAATTTAAATCTTACTTAAGCAAAACCGATCGAGATGAATATAGTTTGAGATGATCAACATTAGAAAACGTGCATAATAAAAATGGATCCTAGAATAGATTTCTTTCATCATTAATCTTTTTCAAATACACACACACACCTGATCTGGTTTTCTTTCAATAGTCATACTCTCACGAAAACCGAACATTTCAGCCAAACTGAATAATTCCTACAATATTTTAATATATAAAATCAATTATGTTATATTTATTTTATCCATCATCACTCACAGCCAGACGAAAATCGATCAGTTCATGAGCAAAATAGAGTAAATATCGTGGCATTTAAAGTTCTAGAACAAAAATATAATCTTGTTGTTTTTTGCACATTATTCACATGTTACTGGCATTTGTTGAGATAAATAAAAGTAACATTTATCTCCTTTCATATCTTTATTGTGAATTAAAATCTTTCTAGGCTATCATATGCAAAAAGCTTAGGTATATGTATTTACATAAGACATACAACACAAGAAAATATAAAAATAGACATCAAACAATTTTATTAAATAAAGTTTATCTACACTTTTTATCGTCATTAACGGCATTTGTATGTAAGTATATAATTGTAATTTCTAGGTTCTTGTGTCCTTGTTTATTTATTTTATTTCAAAATCATTTAAAGTGATGTACCAAGACATATACTAAAATAAATATATGACAAAAAACTTTAACAATAATAGATAAAAACAAAAACTGACATATTTAGAATATGAAAATATTAGAAAAATAATCTGATGTGGTGGGTTATCTTGAAAATGAGCTTTAAACTTGTTAGACTTTATACTTACGTTAATGAAATATTTTATCCAATACGTTTTCTATGGAACTCAGATATAGATTCTGACGAAAGCTTCGATCTCTCTTCGGCAGATTGGACACGATCGTAATGAATGACCACATGGTACACATGTTGCTAAATGACCACAAGGTATACAAGCTAATCTCTTCTCTTCTGTTAAACAAAGGACACAAGGATTTGATGATGTTGAATTCACTGATTGATCTTGTTCATTGCTCGTTGAAGGTACTGATTTGCTGGGCTTTATATCGGTTTGATTTGCAGGTGTTGTTGATTTTGTTGTGGAATCAACTGAAGATTGCGGAGATATAGATTCATTTGTTGACGATGGAGATGATGTAGTCATATCAGCATCAGTAGAATTCGTCATCGATTGAGTTGTAGCTAATGTTTGTTCTTGAGTACGCATTTCTATAAAATAAATAATATTAAAAAACTTAAAAAATATGCCTAAAAACTTACCATTCTGTTCTCTAATTTGTTTCATTCTTATACTTGGTATAACAATGTTTTCCTTTTTACCATCAATGTGTTCGATTTGTTTCTGAAGAATCAAACAAGCAATATATAAATCACACTCTGATATAAAGTCATCTTCTAAAAGAAAAAGGAAAGAATATTGAAAATTATACAACAAAATATTTCAGTTTGTTTAACTTACGCTTCAATCTTAATTGATCTTCCCAACATCGTTTGATAATAGATAGTTTAAATTTTTGATCCAATAAACGTTGTGAAATTGGTAGATCTAGTCGAGCTGCAACAAGTCGGGATAGAGTACTTTCATCAGGTATTAGTAACTGTCGATTGTTTGTTGTAGTTGAGGTAGTAGTAGTAGTACTTGCTGGCATACCTAGAGTTGCTTTTTCTTTTGATTCATTTGCTCTAGCACGTTCTAAATAAAAGACAAAAAAACTTAGATTTAGTTTAAAAATTTCCTATATTTCAACATACCTTGTTGGGCTCGTTTTGATTCTTGAATTTTTCGATACAAATCATCACCACAAAGTTGTTTAGCATAGGCACAGTGTGGAAACCATCGAGCATGTTCAATCATTGGATTATCATTTGGACCCCAATTCTGTAATGATCCATTGCAATAAAAACAAGTCACAATAGTTTTAGTGCCTGTATAAAAAAATCCTGCTCGAACTAAATCATCGACTGATGGTAAATTTTCAGCTGGCCAGAGACCAAATGATGCGTGGCGTTTTGGTATTTCAGTATAAGCAGGATTGCATGCAGCTGTAAATACTATTTCATTAGATCTTAATGGATCGAGACCAGTTGCTGTTGATGAATTCATATTTACCGTTGTACTTGTTGAGTTTTCATTTACAATAATTATAGATGAAGCTGCAGGACGAATTAATTTAGCTGTAACGTATATACAGCTGGGCGAGAGAGTTTTATGTACTTCACATGGATCATCAGTGTGTGGTGTCCATTGTTGACATATCAAATTACAATAAATACATATTACTCGATCACCCACATTGCAGTTGAAAAAGCCAGATTCTATCATTTGTGCCGTTGATGGAATTGTACGATGTGGCCAATGAGAAAACGTTCTTCGTCTTACTTGTTTCAGTAGATTTGTTTCCACTAACGTATTTGATGAAATGTCTGAATTACTTGGTTCAATTTTTTGGCGTTTTGATGGATTTTCTGGTTCAGTTTTTATTGGTATGCTTCGAATAGTAGTAGTTGCTAATGAAGTGAAAGCTTTATTTGATATTACAGATTGTTTCAGGGATAGAATGAAGGGACATTCAGGTCTTTGTTTTGAATGGATAGTAATTGGTTGCATGGTTACCGTCCAATTCGATACCTCAAGTCCACAGTCTTTGCAGCGAGCTGTATCGCTCACACCCGTATATTGAAATCCAGCAGCATTTAAATAATTTGGAGTATGAACTCCTGGTTGCTTGCTTAATGTCGATACAATAGACGCGATGGTTGAGTTTGGAGTATTTGATTTTAATGATAATTGTTCTTTACTTACTCTAGGGCAAAATAATCCTTTGCCTACGATCTTATGATTGTGTAATTGAAAATCTTTTCTCAAAGGAAGGAGGTCTTCCATAATTAATATTTGTATTAGTAGGTTATTGTATGGAATCTAGAAAGTAAGTAGTAAGTTTTATAAAAATGCTCTTTTTTTCAATAGTACACGTATATTTAAATGAAACAATAAATTTCACATTAGGGATGCATAAATCATCTTATTATTCATTTTAAAATTCCGACATAAATTACGTAATACAAGTACTATATTTCGTCGTATGTTAAAGGAAAAGTCCCTTATGAATAATAAAAAATGATTATACCTATAGTCGAAATTATTAACGATATTATGATTCGATCAATTATGTAGGGTTCAATCAGTAGATAATACTAGATTTCTAGTTGTACAAAAAGATATTAAAAATTGAGCTGCTAAAAAATCGAGGTCTTACAACAACTTTTACGTACCATCAGTTTCTAAGCATGGAAAAAACCTAACTCAAAAAATACCGGTATAAAAATGCTTTTGGAATATTCCAACAACCTTATCTTATATATGAAAAAAAGTTACTGGGAAAAAACCAAGTTAGAAATAATAACCAACAGAACAGAAAAAACACGAGCCAATCAGACGGAGCGTAGGCAAAGAGAGAGGGCGTTGTTAAAAGAGTGTTCGAATCAGATGTAAGCAGACGCAATACAATTTTACTTATTGATCATATGCGTATTACTGTTTTTGGGTGAGAATGTTATATAATATTCTAGAATATACAATCAAATAACATTGTTAAACATAATAGATTTGAGTGCAAAAAAAGTGAACTCTCACGTATACGTAGGAAATATCCAATATATCTAGTGATATACATATTGGTATAGTCCTTCTGATCATATTGAAACATTCCTTGTGTTCTTCTATCATATATATAGAATTACGATAGGGACTAATCCCATCCTAGATGAGAGGAAAGAAAAGAACCATATTTATATATGATAGAAGAATACAAGGAATGTTCTAACATGATCAGAAAGAATATATCAATATGTATGTCACTGGACATATTGGATATTTCCTACAGTATATACAAAAATATCGTCAATTGAAGAAATTTTCAATAGATTCAATCCAATTACCGTCTCGTTTTGATAATGATTATATTCTATGAACAAAGTATTGGTTTATTTATATGAATAAAAGATGGTGTATTGCATCAGCGTTCGATTCCTTTATTATGTCTATTAAAAATAATATACGATAAAAACGAATATTGGTAATTGAATTATTTCCAAGTTTATTATATTTTATAAAAATAGAGGATTATTGGTTATTATTTTAAATTATTGCGTCAGACAAAATAGAACAACGTAAATCTAACTTATTAAGGTTGTATACATCTGATAAGCACTGCTAGTATTTCAAAAAACGTCATTATGATTCATAGCATTTTATTTGGGTTACGTAAAAAAGTATGTTTCATCAATTGCGAGTGAGTGACATCAGAATGAATATTCATTGTTTGATGCAAGAAAAAACAAATACCTAGTGTTTTGATTACAGTAACTCTGACTGTGCAATGTTTGATTAAATGTTATGATGAAATGTTTTTACTTCATCATGATGACTCTCAGTCACATGTAAAAACAAATGTTTTTTAATGGACAAAATCTTTTTGATAGAATTTTAAATTTTGAAATAAGAAATATTCCTATGAAATACATTATTGTTTCTTTTATTACTTTCAATCCATGCACTTTAAAAAAACGTTTTGGAAATATCGCTTTTTTAGTGAAATATCATTATTGAAAGTTTTCTTCCCAATACTAGAAGATTATAAATGTCATACCATATAAATATTATTCGTTGATATGGTGCATTATGGGGACACCTATCTAATCATCTATAAACGAACGTCTATATGTGATCTATTGAAGCATAAACGTGTGACATATTTTTCTCATAAAAAGTACATTCTACAAAAACAAAATAATGAATCATATGAAAATGCTGAATATGTTGCTTACTAACTAGTTGATAAATCATTCAAAAGAGTCATTATGCGCAATTTAAAAGTTACTAGGATGCATATCATTAAAAATTAACGTAACTAAAGTCAGCACCATGCTCGACTATTTTTTGTCCCAATTCACCTGGAAACTTATTCTGGCTCTAGAACTGGTTGTGTTCGATGCAGTGTGTAATTCTCTATTGAATGGCGTCATTTTCGAAGGGTGGTCATCGGGATAAAAATATCGCCATAACCATGCATCCACACTGTTATCCTAACCGATATCCTCACTGTTCTTTCTAGAAAATAACACCATTCGATAGATAATTTAATTCTGAATCCTACACAACCATTTTTAGACGCAGCACAAGTCATGGAGCGAATCCGGACAATAAATATTCAAAAATAGTGCTTACTTTCTAACCTAAGAATTATCGAAATGTAAATAAAATACTTACTTGGTATTGCTCTTTTACAAAGAAATGGATATAGCTGTAAGTGACCATATAGAATATTCGTTCGCTCTTACCTATATATATATGATCGTGTGGGATTTATCCACATATCAGTCTAGATTACATTTTTCTCTCCTTTATATATGATCATATGATATTTTTCCTTTCGTTATCTTAATGTGTTCTTCTTCTTTTGACTTATATTGGAATGTGTTATTTCCAAGTAATAAACAAAAAGATATCACGTAGGTATTTTCCCCAGAATACGTTGTATTACAACAGACGGGAATGACCAAAATAACCATTTCTTGTCCCATAAATATTTGTGTTTTCTTCGTAAATAAACGAACTATTACTAAGCTTCCAAACTATCATCTTCTTACACAAACTATGATAAGATTGTAACAATAGCCATGGTTAAAACATAAAAGACTTTGAACTTCATAGATATTCTTGAAAGTAATCAAATACTCTTAAAAAAAGTGCTTCAAATAAGCACATAAAACGGAACTCTTCGAAGCTCTAGGTAATATTATACGACATAGAAAACATTTATTTTACAATTGAAATTCTAGATGATTAATTTTATTGTTGTCAGTTTAAGGTCAAAATCGATCTATTCAGAAGCGGATATATATGAAATGTAAAGATAACATTTAAAAATGAATAACATAGATATGAATAATCTTTAGCATGTTTCACTTCTTTCCGTTACTCAGTTTAATATCGAGCTAATGATTCATATTTCAAGACAAATACTCTTTCAGAATCAAATTAGTAATCTAGTTGCAAACCAAAGACGAGAGAATATCAATATTGTAATCGAAAGACATGCATGTATCTAAGATTACATAACGATGATAAAGGATAATTTTCGATGAAATTTAGAGAATTGCATGATAATCTCGCTAAATAAGATTTATGCTATTCTCTCAAACAACTATTTTACTCTAGAATATTTGTGAAACTTGTTTTATTACTCACTAAAACAACAATATTTAAAGCTACAAGCATTCGGATTAAATCAACGGTAATGTTTTTTCTCGACGAAGAGAAAGAAAATTTGTTTTTTTTAACAGTACGGAAGAAGAAATGAGAGTCTTACTGTTATATTATAGTATTTCATAGACTAATAATCTGTAAATAGGATGTTTAATTGTAATAAACCAAGAGTATTTGTAAAATAAAATATACCTCATTTATAACTTACAAAAAAATCTATCTTAGAGATATTTATTAGTATTATTATGTTGCGAATAGTTAATGAGAAAAATACAAAAAGAAAGACAAGAATTTTATTCTAAGAAACAATTTATTACAAAAGAACTGACATTAAATGTCACGTCCTGAAATCGGGTGTTGAATGATACTTTATGGTAAAATAAACTACTTCACACACGTCTATATATATGGTGGAATATGCGTAGAAGAAGGTATATTCGAACGGGGAATATTCCTAGTGAATACAAGAGAACGAAAGACAAGATATATGTGGAATATATTCTAATATCATCTGTAGAAAAGAAAGGAGAGAATTAAAATAAAACGAACGATAATAATGTATATCACCACATCACATTAAACATGAGAATTAATTTCTTATTCAGTTATTTCGTAGTATAATTAAAAAGAAAAACGATTTGAGATACAAAATCTTGTGTGGATCTCTATGGAGCTGACTGAACAATGCTATCGATAAATGTTAACAAATAATGGAGAAACTATTATAATGCAAGAGGAAAAACGTTTAATAGATTGTTCTAAATACATGGATTGATATAATGAAGAGTAGATTCTTCTTGTTCTTATCTCATTTTCAGTTTTGATATCATATCTGATATTGTCGACTTTGGATCGACTGGTTATTATTCATTAAAAAATAAAAAGTTATAAAATTTATTGTTAAAAAAGAAATTTTTCTATTGATCAAGGTGCTGATCACTAAATTTATTTAGTATTTTTGTTAAACATGTCATGATCATGGTGGTTTTAGACTTGAAAGATATAATTGTAACTTTAACTAGTTAAGAGATAACGTGAAAAAATTCATAAAAATTTTAAAAATAAATACTCCTATGAATAGTATTAAAATCTTAAAAAAATATATGTCGTATTTTCAATGAGAATAATAAGAAGATTTAGTTTGATACAAATTGCTAAGAACTATTTTTTCATACGAAAAAATAGGAGTGGGAGTACAAGAGCAATAGTTTGGTTGCTTTCTGTATGTGTGGTTGGTTTTTTCCAACATAAAAAACGTTTTCATATGTTGTTCGTGCAGATTGCTTTTATTCATATTCTTTGTGCTTAATGCAAAACAAATACGTAGGTTTTGTCTTTCCTTTCACCTTACATTTTACTCGTAACGACCACTGCTTACTTGCATTTTCTTTGCTGGGTTTTTTCCAAGTAAGTAAAACACAGAATAGAATGTAAAAAAAAGGTGAAAATGTCAACACATGTACGTGGTATTATGAGTATGCGTAACTATGGATTTTTTTCGACAACTAAATTATAAATGTCCTCAATGTAGGACAATTTTTCATATTGCTTAATGTTTTATTAGTTTTTGAATAAAAACAAAATGAAAGTACTTTTTTCTTATGACGGGATCAAAATTTCTACAAAAATTTCTATAAATAGTATTTGTTTACCCTTTGAAGATAGAGGTAGTATATATACCATCTCATTCTCAAATGGTCAAATAACTTTTTTTGTTTCGTTATGGGAATTTAAGATATAGAGTGCATATCGATTCTTAAAAAATATCCTTAATAATTTCGGTAATAGGTATAATCTTTTTTTGCTGTTATTCATACGGGATTTTTCCTTTATCATACGACTAAATATACTATTTTTAGCACGCAATTTATACGGTAAATTTAACATGAATAATAGCATAATTTTTGTATCTATAATGCGAAACTTGTTGTTTCATTTAAATATACATGTACTATTGAAAAATAGAGCATTTTTTTAAAACTTATTACTTACTTTCTAGATTCCATACTGTTACTTACTAATACAAAGACTAAGTATGAAAGACCTTCCTTCTTTGACAAAACGTTTTCCATTAAATTAATCTAAGGTCTTAAGCAAGTGAATTGAATTGTTCTAGGATAAAAATGAAACAATTACCTTCGAAATCAAATGCTCCAGCCTCAAATATCACATCTATTGTATCAACATTAATCATGAAACCAGGAATTTATAATCAAAATCATTTAAACTCTGCTGGATTTAAATATACTGGTAATGGAGATACAGCTCGCTGTAAAGACTGTGGACTTGAAGTATCGAACTGGAAGGCAACAATGCATCCATATACTATTCATTCACAACAGAAACCTGAATGCCCCTTCATTCTTTCTCTTAAACAACCTCTAATTCCAAATAAAGCTTCAACTTCATTAACAACTACTACTATTCGAAGCATACCAATAAAAACTGAACCAGAAAATCCATCAAAACGTAAAAAAGATGAACTAGAAAATCCATCAAAACGTCAAAAAACTGAACCAATCAATTCAGAAGGTTTATTAAATACATTACTCGAAACTAATCTACTGAAACAAGTAAGACGAAGAACTTTTTCTCATTGGCCACATCGTACAATTCCATCAACAGCACAAATGATAGAATCTGGTTTTTTCAACTGCAATGTAGGTGATCGAGTAATATGTATTTATTGTAATTTGATATGTCAGCAATGGACACCACATACTGATGATCCATGTGAAGTACATAAAACTCTTTCACCCAACTGTATATACGTTACAGCTAAATTAATTCGTCCTGCAGCTGCATCTATAATAATTGTTAATGAAAATTCATCAGCATCAACTAGTCTCGATTCATTAAGATCTAATGAGATTGTATTTAGAACTGCATGTAATCCTGCATATACTGAAATACCAAAACGTCATGAATCATTTGGTCTCTGGCCAAATGAGAATTCACCATCTGTCGATGATTTAGTTCGAGCAGGATTTTTTTATACAGGCACTAAAACTATTGTGACTTGCTTTTATTGCAATGGATCATTACAAAATTGGGGACCAAATGACAATCCAATGATTGAACATGCTCGATGTTTGTCACACTGTGCATATGCAAAACAACTTTGTGGTGATGATTTATATCGAAAAATTCAAGAATCAAAACGAGCACAACAAGGTATAGTAGAATATTAGAAATTGTTAAATTAAATCTATTATTTGTTTTGTCTTTTATTTAGAATGCGCTAGTACAACAGGCAACGGACAGTTACCAATATCTGATGAAAGTACTCTATCTAAACTTGTTAAACAGCGACTAGATCTACCAATTTCACAACGTTTATTGGATCAAAAATTTAAACTATCTATTATCAAACGATGTTGGGAAGATCAATTAAGATTGAAGCGTAAGTTAAACAAATTGAAATATTTTGTTGTATAATTTTCAATATTCTTTTCTTTTTCTTTTAGAAGATGACTTTATATCAGAGTGTGATTTATATATTGCTTGTTTAATTCTTCAGAAACAAATCAAACACATTGATGGTAAAAAAGAAAACATTGTTATACCAAGTATAAAGATGAAACAAATTAGAGAACAGAATGGTAAGTTTTTAGGCATAGTTTTTTAACAATTTATTATTTTTTATTTTATAGAAATGTGTACTCAAGAACAAACATTAGCTACAATTCAATCGATGACGAATTCTACAAATGCTGATATGACTACATCATCTCCATCGTCAACAAATGAAAATATATCTTCACAATCTTCAGTTTATTCAACAACATCTGCTAGTGAAAATGATATAATACCAAACAAATCAGTACCTTCAGCTAACACTGAACAGGATCAGTCAGTGAATTCAACATCATCAAATCCATGTGTTCTTTGTTTAACAAAAGAGAAAAGATTAGCCTGTATACCTTGTGGTCATTTAGGAATATGCGTACCATGTGGTTATTCATTACGGTCATGTCCAATCTGTCGACGAGAGATTGAAGCTTTTGTCAAAATCTACACCAAAGATTCGTAGAAAACTTATTGAAAAGAAGACTTGATAAATGTGAGTATAAAATTTAACAACAGTTTTAAACTCACTTTAAAGATTACCTACCAGATCAGATTGTGTCTCTAATATTTTCATATTCTAAATATCGAAGTTTTGTTTTTATCTATTATTGTTAAAGTTTTTGTTATATATTTATTTTAGTATATGTCTTAGATACATCACTTAAATTGATATTGAAATAAAATAAACAAACAAAAACACAAGAACTTAGAAATTACAGTTTTATACTTACATACAAATACCGTTAATGACGATGAAAAGTGTAGATAAACTTTATTTAATGGAATTTTTTTATGCTATTTTTTATTTTCTTGTCTTGTATGTCTTATGTAAATACATATATCTAAGCTTTTTCAATATTGTTGTGTTTAGAAAGATTTTAATTCACAATAAAGATGTGAGAGGAGATAAATTTCATTTTTATTTATCTCAACAAATGTAAGTAACATGTTAATAATGTGCAAAAAACAATAAAATTGTATTTTGTGAGTGTGATTATTGTGGATATGGTTATGAGTGTAAATATAACAAGAATATAATGCCGACACTCCTCAGTCAGATTCACACTCTCAAGATGGTGGCTGCTTGATTTAATTAACCAATTTCACAAAGCTTACTCAATACAAATTTTAAATTATCAGTCATAAAACATTGCTGGTACGATCAACTTAGATTGAAACGTAAGACAGAGCTTTGATTTTATTTCATGTATTGAAACATAAGAAATGTCCATTATATTTCAACTTTAGGTGATGATTTCATTAGGGATTGTGATATTCTAGTAGCAAGTATTATCTTACAAAAACAGATTACATATATTGGTGAAAACGAAGAAAATATTATTATTCCAAGTATAGAAATGAACAAAATTTCTCAAGAATTATCAGGTATCAATAGTTCTAGTCATGTGCTACATCTTTTCGTTGATTTTGTTTTGCAGAGACTCGTCGTCAAACAACATTGCTTACAGAATCCTCCAATAATATTAATGTTAAAAAATCAACCTCATCACGTTTTACTGAAAATAAACTGAATGTATCAAATCAAAAAACCGATCTGTCATCATTACATCCTTGTATTTTATGTAATATGGAAACAAAATGTCTTGCTTGTATACCGTGTGGTCATTTAGTTGTATGTACTCCTTGTGGTCAATCTCTCCAATTGTGTTCAATAAATCCAAGTGATATAAAAGCTTTTGTACCAATACATTTATCACCATAAATATCGAACATTATTAAATTGAAGACAAAATTACATATACATTTCGTTTTGTTGCATTCGAATAAAATATATGTGTATATAATATAAAGTTATAGCACATTTATAGATCTTTCTGGAATCAGTACTATCAGAAAAGGGAAGATTACAATATATTCATTATTGTTGATGAAAAATACTTTTACTTATTTATAAAAATAATACAAAAAATTATTGAAACTTATTTTGTTTACTTTTACATCATCAGACATCATATACATGTGTATATGTCTTTGAAATAAGACAAAAGCATATCGACTTGTCCGAGCGTGACGGAATCACGTTTTTTCACGTTCTCTCTATAATATCTCAACATATTTCGATAGGTTAAGGTTGAATACTTCCATATGATATATAAGCTCGGTTACCCTGCACATTAAAAGAGTTTCGTTAGATTTTATCCTTTTCTTATAATTCTAAAAGTAAAATATATGCTTGTGACGCAATCAGCAAAAATGATTATGCGTTTTCAGTGTTGTGTGAAAAACCGAAAAGTTTAGCTCAACTATAAATATAAAGTAATAAAAGAAAAATAGTGTATTTCATAGGAATATTTCTTATTTCAAAATTTACAATTCTATCAAATAGATTTTGTCTATTAAAAAACGTGTTTTTACATGTGACTAAAATTCATCATAATGTAGTAAACATATTTCATACTAACATTTAATCAGAACATTACACAGTCAAGATAACTGTAATCAAAACATTATGTATTTGATTTTTTCTTGCATTAAACAATGAATATTCATTCTGATGTCACTGAATCGCAATTGGTGAAACATACTTTTTTACGTAACCCAAATAAATTGCTATGAATCATAATGACGTTTTTTAAAATGCTAACAGTGCTTATCAAATGAAGCAACTTAACTGAGTTAGATTTACGTTGTTTTATTTATTTGATGCAATAATCTAAAACAAAAAACAATAATCCTCTATTTTTACAAAGAAAAATAAAGTTGCAATTAATTATATTAACAATACTTCTTTTTATCTTATATTATTTTCAATAGACATAATAAAGGGATCGAATACTGATCCAATACACCATCTGTTGTTCATATAAATAAACCAATACTTTGTTCATAGAAGATGATCATTATTAAAAAAAGATGTTAATAAGATTGAATCGCTTGGAAATTTCTTCAGTTGACGATATTTTTGTATATACGTAAAAGTTCACTTTTTTTGCACTCAGATCTACCATATTTAACAATGTTGTTTGACTGTTTATTGTAAAATATTATGTAACGTTCTTACCAAAAACAGACTGATACGTATATTATGAATAAGTAAAATTATATTACGACGTGTGTTTACATCTGAATCGAATACTCTTTTGGCAACGCCCTCTCTCTGCTTGAGCTAGTCTGCTTACCTCGACGAATTGTTTCTTTTCTGTGTTGTTGTTATTTATACACTGGGTTTTTTCCAAGTAACTTTTTCTTTTTCTCCATATAAAAATGAAGTCGTTGGAAAACTCCAAGGCATTTTTATACCGATATATTTTGAGTTAGGTTTTTTCCATGCTTAGGAACTGATGGTACGCAAAAGTTGTCGTGAGGACCTCGATTTTCTAGCAGCTCAATTTTTAATATATTTTTATACAAATACAAATCTAGCATTATCTATTGTTTGAACTCTATATAATCGATCAAACTAATACTGTTAGCGTCTGTGATAAACCACTGGACACTAAACTAGAGAGTAACTTGGTCGTTCTAGTCTAATTGCCTTAGGACATCTACCAGAATGGCGGAAAGTGTGTGTTCAAACCCCACGAAGGCCATCTTTTTCTCTGTTTCTTTTTCTTTTGTTCTCTTTCGTTGATATCCCTTACATTGCTCTTATATGTCGCTAACAAGTACCTTTGATAGTTTCGACAATACATATAATCCTTTTTTGGTGTTATTCATAAGGGGTTTTTCGTTGAGCATAAACTTAAACATAATATTTCTAACACGCAATTTATGTCGAAATTTTAACATGCATAGTACCATGATTTATGCATTTCTAATCTGAAATTTATTATTTCATATCAATATATGTCTGCTTTTGAAAAATACAATATTTTTATAAAACTTATTACTTACTTTCTAGATTCCATACTATTACCTGCTAATACAAATACCAACTATGAAAGAACTCCTTAATTTGACAAAAAGTTATCCATTAAACAAATCTACAAATGTAAGCAAAGGATCGAATTGTTCTGGGATACAAAAAGAACGATTATTATCGAAATCAAATATTCCATATCCAAGTATCACGTCTATTGTATCAACACTAATCAAGAAACCAGGAATTTATACTCAAAATTATTTAAATGCTGCTGGATTTCAGTATATTGGTAATGGAGATACAGCTCGCTGTAAAGACTGTGGACTTGAAGTATCTGGGTGGACAGCTGATATGAAACCACATATTATTCATGCAAAACAAAGACCTGAATGTCCCTTCATTATATCTATGAAACAATCTCTAATACCAAATAAAGCTTCCTCTTCATTAGCGACTACTATTATTCGAAGCATATCAATAAAAACTGAATCAAAAAATCCATCAAAACGTCAAAAAACTGAACCAATCAATTCAGAAGGTTTATTAAATACATTACTCGAAACTAATCTACTGAAACAAGTAAGACGAAGAACTTTTTCTCATTGGCCACATCGTACAATTCCATCAACAGCACAAATGATAGAATCTGGCTTTTTCAACTGCAATGTGGGTGAT